GTGGATTCTACTCCTCCTCACATGAAACAACAGAACGGCTTGCAATCTACCCAAAATTTATCTGTACTGTATAGCTGGTGATTACATTCCTGGAAACAAAATGTATAACCTTGGTTTAATTTGAAGAAACTTGAAGTGAATGTCCTTATAGATTCAGATCGGCACGCCTGTCAGAAACCTGGTTCATCTCAGCAGTTGGTGTCTGTTGGGGCTGTTAGCAACTGTGTTCACTCTTGTTCCTCTCCCTCTTCAGCCGTCCTTTGGGAGGAGGAGGAAAAGGGAATTCGACTGTTCTCTGATGTCTGCCCGCTCTGTACAGCATGAGCTCTTTTCCTGTAGGAAAAGTAGTAGCTGAACACTCAGACCTGTAGACCAACTCTGTCCCTGCTCCCTCCCTGCCATAAATGATAGGTCGAAGGATATTGTTGCTTCAGGGACTTCTGGTGCTGTAACTAAAAATAGAGTCCCTAGGAATTAAAACTGCTTCCCTTGGGAGACTGCTTGTCCTCCCTGGTGACTGGGGCTGCGGGTCTTTTGCCCTGCCAAAAGGTTTGTGTTGGACAGAAACACTCTTGCTCGTTACCCAAGGAAAGCCAAAACGTAGCAGGCCTCTCTTTCTGGAAAGCAGATCAAGGAGAAGGATCGGCTGTCAAGGGAGGAGGTGGGAAAAGGAAACACCGCCAGGCCTCAGTGTTGCGTTTACTTGCAGTCAGTCACAGTTCACTGCGGCGACACGTTAAGCTTTGAGCTTGTTCTCAGTGAAAAGGTTGAACCTGTGGAATACTGAACCCAGTAGGGCAGTGGTGGCTGCCTTCATTAGAATGTAAATGCAGAATGCTGTCTTTGGTGTGCAGAAGAGCAGGACAGAAGATTCACAACCAGAAGACAGTTCAGTTATAGATTGGGTCCAAACATTAGGATGTGGTCCATGATCTGTGTGCTTCGGTTTCTCATGTGAACATCATTGGTCTCATGTATGTGATGAACCAGAGATTTTTCTGAGCCCAAACTGTAAGAATCCCGTGAGGATTATGATTATTATTATTATACCACAGGGAACCTTCATCAGATCTCTCTCTTGAAAGTGTGTGATCATCTCTAATCTCTTTCCTGTATGGGCACTGTAGTCCTCATTCAGGAGGGCCAAGTCATCATTTGCAGCAGCCCAGAGCATGGTAGTGAGTAAGAGTTCTATTGGTAGGGGGAAAATCAGGTGATCTTTTACCATTAATCTTTGTCTTATCTGTTCCAAGACATTGTCCTTTTCATTCTACCAGTGAAGGCTGTTGCGTGCACACTATGCATTTCAGAGACCCAGGCTGGGAGTGCAAGGACCATTCTTGTGATTAATCGACATTACGAGTTTCTGTGTGTTTGCTAGTAGTGATTAGTCAGGACTAGTTTGGAATCTGTCGTGCAGATCTATCAAGTAGTCTATTTCCCCTCTTAGGCATTTGCGTATTTGTGTGCTTTCATTTTCAAGTTGAACACTGGTAGCCAACGAGCATGAATGATCAAGCTTCAAATACAGCATTGAGGATGAGCCTTTTCCTCTGCCTCAAAAAACCCCCAAACTAAAAAGCCACACACCACCCCCCCGAATCAAAACAAACTTCCAGAATAATCTCAAGTGACTTTCTTAGTGTTTGTAGAGGTGTTTGGTTTATCAGTTCCTTTTATTTACAAATAAAATAAGAAACCTTCAACTGGGGGTGCTGTAATTCCCAGAGAAGTTTGGCCAAAAACACAAGAAGAAACTAAAATGTACTGTCAGATGGACGGTGACCGTCTTGAATGTTTCTGTAGATTTTTCTGGATTAATTTGACATAGTAATAGCTTCAGAGCCTTGTTTGCTAAAATGCACAGTGTTTCATAGCTAAAGCCTTCTAAATTACTGTTGAGGCCCTAACAGTGATCCAAACACAGACTTCTGAATGCATACAGGGAAGGATCTGTTCACTGTAAGTGCGTACCAGTTCCTGTAGGGGAAGCGAGGTCTCTGCGTTGTCACCAGGGGCCCTCAACTGCTGTTCCTTCAACAGAAAAATTGAGAAGCAAGTAGATCCCAGCCAAGGAGGCTCACCTGTGGCAGCAAGTTAAACACCATTGTCTGTCTGTCGGTGTTCCCTTTTGGGAAGTCCTGTTTGTCTTCAGCTGGATGACTTGGAATTATGGAGCCTTGGAAGTCTATCAAGGGATACCCAGTTGTGTTCCTTTTTGTTTCCTTTCTGTATGATGCAGGAGGCAAAACAAGAAGGAAATACTCTCTTTTTCAGCTTGGAAGTCATAGAGGGAGTGTCCACTTCTTATAATCTCTAGGAAAAAACTGTTGGGATACTTTGCCATCCTGTTCTAGGCTTGAATTATTTGAAGATGTCAGCAGCAGTTTCAGCTGTTTCAGGCTCACTGTGGTAACACTGCTCAAGTTGTCGCCTTCATTTGCCAAAATTGGGGCAAGTTTCTTCATCTTCTTGGCTCTTATTTTCATTTGTTCAATTATGAGACAAAAAAATATTAATAATGAGGGCTGTTGTTGTTAATACAGAATTTTTTCTTTGTTTATTTTCTCACCGTATGGGGAGTATGGTGAAATACCTAGTGATCTGCTACAGCCCACCTTGCATTTGAGTATACTTGGATGATAACGCTAATCAGGGTAAAATGTTTCTCAAAGACGTCATTCCATTGATTTCTGTGGTCTTAAGGTCATTCATGAAGAGCCTTAAGCACTTAAAAAACCAGGAGAATTGTTAGACTTGAGTTAAATGTTTTATACCATAAGATTCTAGACTGCCGTGTGCTCCATTTGCCTGCTGGCTTCATCAGATTATGTCCCTTCTCACTTGCCACACATTTTACCAGACTGTCAAGATGCTGTTAATTGATATCTCTGTTGCACATCCGTGTGCTCTGTGGAAGTACCTCTGGCTTACCTTCTGCAGAAGCTGAAATAGTGTAAAAATAAGAGTTCTCTTCTTTTCACGTGCCTCTAAAGGGGTGTTGCAGTACCGTGTTTATTGCGGGGATCCAGAAGTGACAACGGACAGCGATGCAGGCACATGACATGTTGCCAGGCAAGGTAGCGTAAAGTTTTTCATTTTATTGACAGATCACTCATATCGGGACTGATGGGTTCATGGCTGTCACTGCAGCAGTAGCGCTGTGTCATTAAAGGCTGCAGAATGCTTTAAGGTCAGAAAATCAGAAATGTCCTGGCATTCTGCAAATGGACTTTGAGAAAGGTCTTCTGCAGTAAGATGTATCTTGAAATGGTTCTTACTGACCCGAAGAGAAAATGCTGTGCTGTGCGTCAGGGATTTGAACTTCTGCCCTATTCCATCGCACAGGTAGTTAGGGTATTTCTCATTGATATGAAGAATCCTTGGGAAAATGCCGATTTTTCAACCTCAGTGCTGATTGTGGTCCAGCTTTGGTCAAGATGGCTTTAAATACGCTTATGAGATAAACCCTCCAGCTCAGCTCCCAGTCATGCTGTATACTGTATTATATAAAATGTGGAAGAAACTTGGCAGAAATACGTTGTGGCAGAGGTAATTGATCAGGTCAAGTCCAGAACATTATGAGAGCAAGCAGGTAAATCTCTGTTGGACTCAAAGTAATGGAAACGTGGAGAAGGGTTTTGATTTGGATTGCGCAGCCTAGTGATCTTTAGAAGCCCTGATCTTTTTGCTGTTCTGAACATCACAGTGATCAGTGGTTTAGATCTAGTATACTCTCCTGTCCTATAACTGGTCCTTTCTAGCAGCCTACCGTAATGTTAGCTGGCTCAGTAGAACTCCTTTCTGAGTCTTTAGTTGTATTGTTTATAACAAAATTTTTATAGTTGCCATTGCATTGGTATTCCTAACTTGAGCTTGAGTGAAATACATCATCTAGGATTTTATAAGGCAGTGTAAGAAAAATCTAGACTGAAGATTCACCTTAATTGTTTCTCTCAAGCTTTTAGTAATGATTATGTCTGATTTTTTTGGTATGGTGTTCATCCGTTATTTCAGGTTTTCTTTCCAAGTTACTCTCAAGTCAGGAGACAAACCTGTCCATCCTTGCTGTTATGTGGATTCTTTATTTCTCCCCAAACAGTGTGATGTCTTTCAAAAATGCCTCTTAGGCCATCTTGAAGATGGAGATAGGGCTTACAAACGTGTGGACTCTTGGGCAACTTTTGAGCCTATCAGTCTGTCCGAGGTCATGTTATGAGATGGCTGGTTGCATGTTGTCTATTCCACTGGAATCAGTTGGCTGCTCACCATTTTTTAATTTTTAACCCAAAAGTTTACACGTGGATTGGTTCAGTTTCCTGATGGTTCTTAAGTGATGCCACAGTATTTCTTTCTGCTGTTAGAAAGCTGTCCTTTCAATAGTTAATGCTCTCTTCATTGCCATGACTGCCTGCAGTCACCAGATGAGTGCTCAGCACTGAGTGGACGTTCAAGGAGGAGCAGCTGTCGCCCTCAGTTCTTCCGCTGGTGAAGTGCACGTGGGTAGCAGCACTTGCAGCTTCTTTTGGTTTCTGTGAAGTCAAATACTGCGTTGTGTGTTGGCCTAGTTCCTTTGCTACCTTGTCTTTGGGAAGAGTGTCAAGGTTTGGGAAGGACCCGGTGCACACTGCGCGTCAAAAAGGAGGCAGGAAGTCTGGTATATGCAGAACATTTACTTTGAAGATTTGCATGTCTGTTAGGGGAGAGAGCACTCCGCAGGTAAGGATGGTGCACAAGAAGTGGGGGAGAAAGAACAGCTTTTGTTTTACAGCTTAGATTAAACGTGTAAGATTATGCAAATAATGACTTATCTGTCACATAAATGTAAACACTATTATGTGTAAAATTTTCTTGAAGTATTTGCTAGGGCTGTTCGGTGAGTATTTTGTTGATAATTTTTTTAATGTGTAACTTGAGAAGAGGGAATTTGCTTATCAGTTGAGTAGTCTTGAAAATTAGTAGCGTTAGTAGCACATGTATCCAGCCTCAAGTGCTGGTTAATGAAGGCTTGCAGAGCACACGGTCTGTCGGCTGTTCTTCAGTCCCCTGTGCAGTTCATGGAGGGAGAACTGTTTGATCCGCTGCATGTCCTTGACCTGACTGAGTGCAAAGCAATTGGGATCTCATCTGAGCGTTTGGCAGCTGTAGGAGAAGAGTTTGATAAACTCTGTTTCCTAGGCAGTAGGCTACAGAGACTCGATCATGAAAAACTCCTTGTGGAAAGGAAGAGCTGGGGGCGTGAGGGATGGGACTGAGAGCTATGATGGATGGATGGCTGGATGACAGTGGGGAAAGGGTTAGAAAGGGTTAGGGAAGTAGGAAGCTGAGCAGCTTCTGGGGGTTCTGGGGGCAGTGGAGACTGGGAAGACAGTGTTTTGTTGGAGAGCAAGATGGTACTGTGGTGGTTGTGGAGAAATACTGTGATAGACTTAGCTGGCCTGTCTTCTACAGGATCCTGGATTCATGTTGTGATGTAAACGGTGGTGTGCAACGCTGCTTGATAGACTTTTTTTTTTTTTTTTAATAGTGGATATTTGCTGTTCAGTTTTCTATTGCTTTTGTAAGTCAGAATTAACAAGATTAGCATTTTTCAATAAATAATCTTATGTTCCCTCTCCATTCAGTACAGAGAAAGGAAAAGTCCTTACTCTGATCTTTTGGAGGAACCTGCTTCCTGTTACCTATAGAAGGAGCCTGGCAAGACCAGCCTTAGAAGGCTTAAGTGAGCTTTTCTGAACGCCACGTTTCAGTGGCAGAGCTGAAGGTAAACCTGTGTAGTCACCATGTTCAGGTATTCCTGTGCCACAAATAGCTGTCTTAAACATACGAGGTCTTTCAGTTTTGCCAGCTTCTCTAAAGCATTTGGAAAGGCATCCTAAAGAATAGTTTCAATTTTAAACATGAATGGATCTAGTCTGTTCTACTTCAGCTTTCCTATGTAGAAGCAATTATTAGGAGAATATGAGAATGCATTTAATTAATTTGAAGCAATCATAAGAATTTAGTGGAGTTGGAGCCTGGTGTAGTGGATTCTGAACTGACTTGTAATGCCAGAATGAGATCTTGGAGTTGTGCTAGAAATATGAAATACCAGCTAAATGCTCAGTAGTTATCATATAAGCAGTTACTAGAGAATTTGTCAAGAACCCAGCTGAGAATATAAGTCCATTTCAATGCCTGTATGTAAGCAATCTTGATATTTCCATCTCAAAAGGAGCGTAACATAACTAGAAATGTAAGATGTGGGATGGCTTATGTATGTGAGACAGTATTCAACCTGAAAAAGATTATGATGGGGATGATTGGGGATGGGGAGGTAAGAGAGTGAGAGAGGTTTGCAAAATTCCAGATGCGCAAAAAATATAAATGGAGAGTTGATTGTCTCTTCTAGTACAAGAGCTGAAAGCATCAAAAGAAGTAAGTGTGGGAAATAGTAAAATACGGAGCTCCTGGCTACAGAACATTGTGGATGCTAGATGTTTGTGGAATTACAACAGCGTTGGACAAACTGATGGAAGAACAACCTATCAAAGGTCACTACATAAAAAAGAAGTAATTTTTGCCTGAGAAGATCACTGAGCACAAATTGGCAGGGGGTGAGAGTGTTACAGGAAAATGTTACCGTTGTATTACATACCCTTTCTTAAATTCTTCACAAACCACTTTGTTTAGTCCACTGTCTTGGACAAAATGTGGGGTTATGCCCCTTTTCCTCTGATCCAGTATGGTTGCTTCTGTGTGGAGTGTTGTATTTCCTTAAAAGTAATGTCAAAAAGAGAAAGATGGGTACATTAGCCTCATCAGTCTAATGTAGGTTTTGAACTATGGCTGCAGTGATGGAGGACTGCTGTTAGATTTCCTCCTAAACGCTTTTTTTCCTGCAGACTAAACGAGCCCAGTTATCTTAGCCTTTCTTCACCTGCTGTGTGCTCCAGCCTGCTAACTGTCTGAGTACCACTTCATGAGAGTGTCACCTATGTGCTGGGATCTCAGACGGAGGACCAGAGCCGGACGTGGTATTCTGGCTGTGGGCTCAAAACTGCGGAGTGGAGGAGACTAATCTTTTTCCCCAGTGTACTGCCTGTGTGAGCGCCTGCGTGGTAGCAGTGTGTCGCTGCAAGGATGCATTGCTGCCTCGTGTTCTGCCTGTCCATCAGGATCCCCAAGTTCTTTCTGTTGGGTTGCTGCAGACAGTTGGTCCCCAGCTTCTGTTGATGCATGGCGTTATATTCCATACCAGCTGTGAGACCTTGCATTTGTCGTTGTTGAACTTCAAGAGGTTTGTGTCAAGCCATTTCTCTGGCTTTTTGAGCTCCTTTTGAAAGGCAGCCCTGCCATTTAATGCCTCAGTTGCCCTCAGGCACCTCCCGTTTGGTGTCATCCACAGCCTTGCTGAAGGTGCAGTTTGTCCCATCATCCAAGCCGTTGATGGAGGTAGTAAACCATGTCAAGCTTTGTTGAATGCCACTCTAACTGGTTGCCAGGCAGGTGTTGAATCATTAACTACTAACTCTGTGTGTGACAGTCTAGCCAGTGTTTCGCTTGCCTTGCAGCCCACCCATCTGCTTTTGAGAACTTGCTGTGCTTCCCAGCTTGATATTTTGGAAGCTCATTATAATATTGGGGCTTGGGGGGATGAGGAAGCAAAACCATTTCCTGACAGACAGTTTTGGGAATTTAAAAAGTGCCAGAACTGGAGATGTTTTCTCCTGTTACAGAGGCTGCGGGATACGTAAGGGGTGAACTCAGCTGCTCTAGCTAGTTCGGTGACAAAAAGAGGAACTGGTGGTAAAATTTAATCTGGCAAAGGTTCTTTGTTGTGAAATGCTGCAACGGGAATTGCTTTTGAAGAGCGGGAACTTGCTGTTACTGAGCTGTGAAGTATACTTTGCCTGTCTCTGGTTCTGGGTGGGTGCTGTGTCATCTGTCTGTTTGCAGTTTGTGAATGACAACTTTCCTGAAAACTTTTAATCGTAGTTTTTCACTTTGGGAACGATTTTGAAGAAGACACTGTCCTCTGAGAGGTGTTTGCAGGAGAATTGCAGGGACTTAAATTTTCACAATTGACCTGAGTTTGCAGGAAGGATTGTAGAACACCTTGTGGAATCTTTCATAATTTGTTCTCGGGATGACAGTGTAAAGCCATGTGAACAGTTGCGTTCTGTTCGGCCTACAAGGCAGCAGCAATGTTAGATACAGGGAGATCTGAAACAACATCAAGAGCGTGGGCACAAAGAGCTCGCCAGTGTCTTCCTGCTGCTTCAGTCTCGGTTTGAGTCTGCACAGTGGAAGAGGACCCTATGCCTGCAAAGCTGGTGAGATATGATCTCAGCGGGTTTTTGTTTATGTTCTGAAACCTTTTAAGTGTTAATGTTAGCTTCTGTTAGTAGTTGCTTGATCAGACACATCTAGTTAATATTCATGTGGCAGTCTCCAATGCTTTGGCCCAGTTAACACATCTTCCTCCTCAAATAAGGATTATTAAAACCAGCTATCATATAATGAAACTGATGCTGAAACAATTCTATCCTGTTTGTTGCTAAAGGAAAAGATAAACTGTAGATCATATGTCTTATCCTTGTTAACTAAACCCAGTTTTGGCAAATAAGGGAGTTTGAAGGCACTTTGTGGTGTTAAGCTGGGTATTTCTGCCTCCTTCAGCGATCTTGCTGTTTGGAAAACATTTTTAGTTTTCTTCCCTGTTTCAGCTCTGAATGTGTTTTTGCTTTACTCGGTCGTTTTGGACTGTTCTTCCAGGTGATGTGGCAGATGGAGGTGTGTGTATATAGTGAAATTGAAAAAGAAAATGTTGCTTGTGTGAAGCTGGTTTCAGCCTGTCTACATAATTCACATAAAATAGCAACCTGAACTTGTTTTCATCCAGTAGATTCAATTCCATCTGTTCCTTAAGTCTGAGAATGCTTTTGTTTTGAGAAAGGCAGGACCCATGGAGTGTCTTCACGGTGGCAGCAGAGTGCTTTGCTGACGTGAAGTTTAGAGCAAGTAAGGGGCTGGGCTTGGACCTGGAAGATAAAACTGCTCTGCTGAAGTTTCCACGGAAGATGTAGGTGAGGAGGAACAAGAGAGGATCTGTAACTGATGAATTCAGTGGTGATGAGCAGTCATGGCCTGGTTTGGCCATGCCTTAGCCTTTGTCTTGTCACTGTGTTCCCAGATGTTCATAACCACCACATTTTCGTTTCCTTTTGGGAGCTACTGGTGTGAAGCAGTTTATAGACACCTTTCTCCTTTTTAAACCAGACTTGCAGTGGTTTGATTTTTGTCCTCTTTTGTGTGAAAATGTTACCCTTTGCAACCAATCCATAGTTGTGATTTTGCGCAGTATTAGTTCAAAATAGTTTCCTGCAAATATAGCAAGTTAAGACAGCGTGTTTGGGGTTGGGTGGGGTTTTTTTGTTTGTTTGTTTTTTTGTTTGGTTTTTTTTTTTTTTTACTCGAACTGTAGAACTTCCTCAAACTGCAAGTGTTCTGATACGTCTGCCTTGGCAAACTTCTTTCTCTTAGGTAGCATACAATGAGATGTTATACTTGCTAACTGCATTTTTCAGTTGGTTTTGTGATTATGTGACACAGTAGCAATAGGAAAGGCGCCTGCCTCGCAACAAATGAGGACAACTGATACATAGGGGTTTTTAATCCCAGGTGTGTGTGAAAAATGTGTGAGAAGCATCTGAGCAATATTCTGGCAAGAAGCATTTTTGTCTGTGATGGAAAGGATAGTTTTCTCTCTGCTAACCTGGCTTCTCCTGGCAGGGAGAATCGCACATAGCATATTACCATGTGTGATATATCTCTTAAACCTGCAGCTTTACACCCACACTTCACAATAGAGAGGGGAACATTAAAATTGTATTCTTAATTCTGACAGTAAATTTTAAGGACTTCTGCAGTTGTGCCATTCCCTTCTCTTGAGTTTTTGAATTCTCTTGCCTTTAATAGCTTGATGTTCAGATCTAATATACAAAGTTAATGGGATAGGGCTTTTGATCTCCTGAAAACTGTATCCATTTAGCTTCCCATGGTTGCATTATTTTGAAATGAGTACTGAGATATCATTAAGTTATTCTAGTTTCAATTCGCAGTGCAGAAACTGCTGTCAGGCCATGTAATGTGTGTGTTTTGCTGAGCTGATGGGATTTCTATTTCTCCAAAAGTGTTACTTTTATTCTTATTCTAAAGGCCTAGTTGCATTCATAGATTGAAAGTACGGATGTTCCTTTAGATATTTGATTGGTCTTGGATGTTGGCATTGTGGAAGTAGTGCTATGATGCATGTGTTTACCGCTCTCACCTTATAGTTGCAGATAAAAGTGTTAGTTTACTGTAGTTTAGAAACTATTTGGGTTTTTTGCATGCTGTGCATTGGGAGATTCTAGTCAAGAGAATTACTGACTTTGTGATACTTTTTAGTGCCTTTCCTGGCTAGCAGTTTTCAAGGTGAATTAGTTTTTTTTGAGTATTAGAGAAGATCAAAGGTGTTAGTATCAACGTTAACCTACATCTCTTCAAGGTGGTGGCCATGCATATTCAGGTGACAGTCACTTTCTCTTAAGCTCTAAAGCATTGAGACTAAAGCTATCTGTAGCAGAGAAACGGAGACAAGTGTTTTCATTATTCTACTACTTGAAACACAAGGCTAATTGTCTAATTCATTTGGTTCATATTAGTGCCTGCAGACAAGGAGGCACAGCTGATGCTGCTTAGACTGATCTGTATTGTCCAAACAGGTGTGTTTTCTGTAATATTTTTTGTAGGTCAGATTTTGATCACAGGAAAGGGCTGATCTCTGTTCTGTATCATTTGAAACCAAGGCAGCGAAGGGGGAGTGTTCCTTTTCTCACATTCTTCATTTCTGCAGTCTAGTGTTTATTGGCTTTTGTTGTAAGTTTTCAGGTTGCTAGTTCTAAGGTTGTTGTAGGGACGTGCCATACAGTAGTACGCTGTTGGGCTTGCACTTCTAGCATGCTGGTAGTAGCCTGCTAGTTTTCCTTATAGGAACTGACAGAAGACTTAATGACTTCTTTGTGAGTTTTTTTGGTTTTAGTCCTAGACAGATAAGCCAGTGATATTGGGAGAAACTATTATCTGCTTGTGCCAGGACTGAAAAGCAAAATTGTTGAAAAATGACTATTTCTTCTTCCCCCACCCAAAATAAATTACAGCTGAATGAATCAGGTTAAAAGGAGAATAACAATTGGGTTTTGATGATCTGGCTTAAGTAATTTAGTAAGTTCATGTGATACTTTTGAACTGTGATTTGTGAAGATGCAGATCACTACTTATTGCTAGTAAACTTAGCCAGGCTGGAGAGGTGGGACATAATGTAGTGCCACCAGTAGGTTTTTCAAAGGATGTTGATTGGATCTAATCACATGGCAAGATGTTGATCCTGGGTTAGAAAGGACCCTTCTGCCAATACTTTGAGGATGATTAAACTTTTCTAGGCATTTCTTCTACAGTGGTGACTTCTTCTGTAGGGGTGACTTCTAAATTCTTTAGTTTCCTCATTCTCAACCCACCGTTTTAATCATATGGCCAGCCATATGTGAACTATGATATAGTTTGTGACTAGTAGTAGAACCATCTTGAAATGTGTTTTCTGAACTTCAGAATTAAACTCCTAAGTTTGCAAAATAGCTTGTCAACAGTTCAGAGGCTGTTCAAAGTGTAAACCAGTCAGTTGCAGAATGTGTTTCCGAGGGTGTTGGAACGACACTAAATATTGATTGAATCATTTCCTTGAAGCTCCATTGACTTAGGCTGAGGGAGCTTGTTTTGGTTTTATGTGCTTCAAATAAAGTACAATCAGAAACTGTAAGTAACTTTCTAGAGATGGTTTGGCCAAAGTCTTTCTGTCAATATAACCAACCAAAATATGACCCAGCACATTGAGGATCACAGCTGTTAGGCAGTATTATTTCTTGTGCTGTAGTTAGAACTTTTTGGTTCTTAACAGAGCAGAAATACTATGTTGATGAGGCATGTTATCTACCTCATTAGTCATCTTCGTTGGCTTCTAAAAATTGGGACTGCTTACACGGAGGATATTGGTTAGCCATTTGGTGGTAAAGACATGAAATTTCACTAGCTTCACTGCAGAAATGATAAAATAAGAATGGTCTAGCCTGAAAGCCATAAGGGCTGGGGCTTCTACAGGCTGCTGAACTCCTAGTGAACAGGACGTCAGCATACTCCTGTGCTTGACAGGAAGTAAGGAAAGGGCAAAAGAAGGTGTTCATCACGTGGCACTGCCAGAAAAGGTGAGCTGCTCTTCCCATTTTCTCTGGGAAGGAGGAGGAGAGAAGTGATGGGTTAAAGATCCATCACTTGGATCACGCTGAATAGACTGCAAACACCGTGTGAATCTACCAGGGTTTCTAGTTTAGGGCATCAGATACGCTTCAGTTTATTTACACGATAGTTTCAAGTACATTGTTGAAACGAATACTTTTAAAGACATTAAAACTTGTGCTTGAGTTTTTGTCAAAACCATTGTTTTTCTGTAGAATGAATTACTTCCTTGCCTGCAGCTGTGTTGTCTGTAGAAAGTCTTGTGTGAGGAACTCCAATGTATTGGCGAAAATACAGTTTGAAACTAGTTGATTTGCTATTCAGAGGACCCTTTCTTTGTTGAGCTAGGACTAACGACTTCATAGCTATCAAGTGATTCCAGGGCTTTTGAAGTGTTACAGCAGTGATTGCAATTGCAGTGTACTTCGTGCAGGCAAAGGCATATGTCCTATATTTTGAGAGTATATGAGTCATTGTTTCCAAAATTTTGGTGAGTAGGGCAGCTGACAGCTATTCTTGACCAGAGTTTTTGAGCAAGGATACCACAAATGCAATGTGGTTGAATTGATTTGCCCTATATTTGGAGAGTTTTAATTTCCATTTAAGTATATCAGTGTGAAGACAGCGGAATTATGTCACTGTCTTTATCTGGATGCTAGCTACCTAAATGATGATTTGTAGTTCCTGATGATAAAAACAGTATCCAGTGTCTGAGGAAAGAGGAGAACAGGGACGGGTCTTGATTAATGCAAAATTTAACAAAACTCCTGCTTCTGTGCAACAAGAGATCTGTGTTCACGATCGAGTGACTTCAGCTTTGCCCTTTGGATGATGCACAGTCTGCTTCTGTAGCAGCAGCTCACACTTTTTGTGAATTAAAGCAATTGGCCTTCTACACCGATAGCGTAGTACATGGATTTAGCTCTACAGTCTACCCAGCCTTAGACACGTAATAGTGTCGAGTAACATTAAACATTTCTGGGGAATATCCGTTGCCACAGCCTTTCCTTCTTTATCAGCTGACAGGCTTCCTCCACCCCTGCCAGACTTCTGCAACCTGTTGCTGCCATCACGTGTGCATTGCTGAGCAGAAGTAAGCTACCTCGGTGTCTCAAGGAACACGCGTAGCATTGGCACATGTTATATGCTGTGCTTTGTTTTCAGAACTTTGAGTATTGTTTTGCTTGATTAAATGGTGTTAATCAGCTTTAATGGTAGTTTAGCAATTTTGTCTTAATTTTCATACTGATTTGTACAATTTAATTCTTCCTATTGATTGTCAGCTAACATGAAATGTGTCAGGCATCTACATTAGGCTTGAAAACACTAGTTTAGGCTTTCTGGTAGGAGCAGGACTTGAATGATGACTTCCATTATGGGAATAAAATGGTTGTAGTTGTTGATGGGATGTATAGATTTGGGGTGGGTTTTTTGGTTTTGGTTTTTAATGTAGGAAATATAATAGTTTGAAAGTTGTGGTAGCTAAAGTGCTAGTTTTTGATCATCTCAAGAAGTAAAGATTTTGCTGAAGTGTTACATTACTTTCCAGAATATATATTAAAGGTCTTTTATAAAAGCTGTTTTCTAATTGGATCTTGCTTTTTGTCTTTATAGCTAAACCAGGTGGACGGGTGAAATGTCAGTATATTTCTGCTGTGGATAAAGTGATCTTTGTGGACGATTATGCAGTAGGATGTAGGAAAGATCTCAATGGCATCTTACTGCTAGACACAGCTCTGCAAACGCCTGTTTCAAAACAAGATGATGTGGTTCAGCTTGAATTGCCGGTTACAGAGGTAAGAAGTGGAGGAAAAAAAAAAAGAGTATGTAAATAACTCTGTCAGAAATACTGAAACCAGACATTTGATCCTGAGTTTCAAGTGTGATATTAACAGCATGTAATGGAAAAGTTTCATAGTTATTAGCTGTCATATGGTGATAGCTTTTTGTAGTTTTCCATATCTGTATTACTTCAGATGAAAGAACTTGTTAGCGACCAGAAATAAGGACTCATTTCCAGAGCTTTGTCGGTGCTTATGTGTGGAATCTATATGCACTTCTAGATGTCGTTCTGGGCTGCTAGGCATCCTTGAATTTTGTTGGTTTAGACTTTCAGGGAAAAAAAACCTGAACAATTAAAAAAAATACGATGTTGCTATATGTGAAGAATTAATGGTGGAATCTAACTTTTCTAGTTAGGTCAGTTGGCCTAATGAAAGACTTTTTTCCCTGCAAAGCTGGCTTCCATTTTATGTTTGGACTATCACGACTGTAACGTGATTCCTCGTGCTTTGAGACAATAGCACCAAGCATGTGGGACCACTTTAAAGGACTCCAATGGACATATTTTTGCTTAGAGTGCAATCCTTGGGGTTTTGTTGCATGGGTTTACCTTCAGCTAACATAGCATTTATTAGGTGAGGTAGCGTGTACATTCTTGCTTTCAAATGCTGCCTAATACAAGATAGCTAACTTTCTGTTCTAAGGCACTTGGTGATAAGGAAAGTAGCTTTCACCTTTGTAGTGGTCATGAAGTTATAGACCTGGAAAGTACATCTGTACAACAATTTTAATTACAAACAAGATTAATTCTTTGTTTGGGGAAAGCATAGAGCATCTGCCGATGGTAATATTTAGGATAGTGCTTACAGTCGAAAAAACCAAAATTGGACTGCTAGACCTGGATTCTGAATCTTTAAATCACTCTGAGAAAAGAGCACTTCCCACTCATCTCTGTCAGAAATAAATTTGTATTGAATGATGCACCACCAACAAAAACTTATCCTGAGCATTGATTTAAAATATTTATGTGTTATTGTAGTACAAAATAATAGGTGCTTGTTATGAACTAAGAATGTGTGCTATGTGTGAAGTTTTAAACTCTTGTCTTGAGTAGGAGTAACAGCAATAAAAAGTTGCTTCATAGAGGTCTCTGAAGAGAGCATTCCCGGTTCCTCAGGCTTCCTGCCACTGGCAGCATTTTTACACACTTTGTATGTAACTACAAAATCTTGGTATGTTGGCTGAGTGTGAAGAGACTGACAAAGGTCAGCATTTCCTTTCATAAGTTTTGCTGTCGCTGGTTTGCAGGCTCACGTGATTCAATACAACCTGTAAGTTTGTGTCAATTTTAGCTAAAGGTTCTTTGATTCTAAAGAGTTTACAGGCACTTATTTTGAGCATTTTCCTGTAAAAGTCCTTCCTGTAGGAAAAAATTGGAAGATGTTACAGTTCAGTAGGAACAGAATTGGGGAGTTCATGGCCAAGTCAGTGAGGAGGAAGGAAAAACATTAGCAGTCTTCAGTTCTTACTTTTAATTTTTAAGATGAGGGACCTGGACCTCAGAAAACTTTAGCAAATATACAAACGCGTCAGTCGACCTCTTTCCTCATAGGAAGGTCAAGAACCTTTATCCAAGCAAGAGCCTTTATTTTTTGTTACTCTCTAGAACTTTCTGCAAATTTTTGTACTTAAGTAATCTTTTTATGTGATTGTTCAGCTGGTAATGTAGTGCATTTCTAATCAGCAGCATTGACAAGTGATGCAGCCTCCATGCTGTTTTTACTTCCCTGTAGAATGCTGTAAATCTGTTGTTCTGTTATCTGCAAGAGACTTGGGAAGTATGAGACGCCACAAGAATTGTAATTGTCTTTTTCTTGAAATCTGAGAAACAGGTACAGCCTTAGCTAGGGGACTGATTTGCTCTGTTTCTGTCTGTCTTCCCCTGAACTCCCCAAGGACATAACCAAGTGGCTCTTTGGCCCATTCTGTTTGGAGCAGTTCATGGCTGTTTAAAGGACTAGCTGGCCATTGCCCTTGGGAAATATTTCTCTGCGTTTGTAACTTGAAAGATTTTATATCACATTTTTCAGACGTTAGCCCACCTAACAACAGATAACAGGATTCTCTGCGCTTTGCACATAAACCATATGTTTGAATCTTACCTGTCGACATGAAGATAGCAGGCAGAGGGATAAGCTAGAAACAGATGGGTCTTGGAAGAAAAAAAAGCCTATAAATGAACGTTTTTAGTGTTCTTTTCTAGATGCATTATTTCTGAGTTTTAAGAACTTCTAGATCCTAAACTAGCCTGGTTTTTTTTCTGCCTTATTTTTCATCTTCGTTAGGCTAACATTTAAGTAATTTATCTCTAATTTTCTTGCAATGTTGTTTTTCTTATTATCATCTACTTTTTTTAACATCTAAAGCTACCCAGAAAAATGGCAGGACTTTGTTCTTGCTCTTGCTTTTTGTACTTAAAGCTGAATGAATCCTTTTAAAGGGAAAGCATTGGGCGATAGATGTCCCCTCTTTGCTTGGGTTTAACATATGTTGTTTTAATTGTTCATATGACTGACTTGTTTAACATTTGGTGATATTGCTCTTGAGGGAACTTGTAGTAAGTACTGTAACTATTGCTGAAGTTATCCATTGATTGGCCTGCACAGTAAAATTTGGAACTGCTTACTCAACTTGGTCTTTTATGGGAATTATGCTGATCTAATATATGGTCAAGTAGGATATGACAAATTACGTTTCTTGGAGTGATGGAACAGGTGTAATTCTTGTCTTACTCAACATGGATGCTAACTTTTCTTGTACATCTACATTTTAGGCTCAGCAACTGTTATCTGCTTGCATAGAAAAAGTAGATGTTTCTAGCACAGAGGGATATGACTTATTCATCACACAACTGAAGGATGGTTTAAAAAATACCTCACATGAAACAGCAGCAAATCATAAAGTTGCAAAGGTAAGAATTTGTCTCTGTACTGTCTAACATGGATTCTAGTTTGCTTGGCTGCTGTTATTGAAGCGTACAAAATGCTTGACTTAGTGTGGTGGATTTTGTTTGAAGAGAGTGGAATGTATTATGTGTTCCTTAGTTCCTCTGTGTGAAGTTTCACTTTTTAAGAGAACAAACAAGGTTAGTTTCTTGCTAATAAACCCAGCTGAGTTTAAAATCTGAAGTTACTGACTTCCCTTGCATTATGTCCGTGTTACTTTTGTGTGCCTGTTCTTGTGTTATTTCTTGAAATGGAGAGAAGGTGCAAGATGTGTGTTTGGTTTTGCTTTTGACACTTTCGTGATCTATTTGTTGTTTAGATGTTAACAATTTAAAAATATAAACCAGGCACTTCTTTCTTGATTTAGTGGGCAACGGTTACCTTCCACCTTCCTCATCATGTTTTGAAGTCTGTCGCCAGTGCCATTGTAAATGAACTCAAGAAGATAAATCAAAATATTGCTGCCTTACCTGTAGCATCCTCTGTGATGGATAGGTTATCTTACCTCTTACCCAGCGCACGACCAGAACTTGGTGTGGGACCTGGTCGATCTGTGGACAGGTATATTAAGACAAAAGAATTGATCAATTTGACCCCTTAATTATATGTGAATAACCTCTTGTGTTACTTTATTTGCCAGAGGAATGAGTCCTATCCTGTACTTTCTCGCCCTTATGCATACCACTATTTAACTCTTTAATGCTCAGTGCACTGTGCATGTTAGTAAACTTAGAGAAACCTTTATGGGTGCCACAAGACTGTTTTGTTTGGATTCTGACTTTAATGCCAGGCAAATTGAATTAACTTTGTTTTTAATGCCAACACACGCTTTCAGCAAGGTAGCAATCACAGCCCTAAGTATAGGTCCCTGGGTGGTATTGTACTGCGTTACTGTGATGTGTTCACCTAGGCTTTACTCTACATCATGTTTGATTATGGGTTGTATCTGAACAGTCAGGTGTGTTTTATCTGAACTAGTCAGGTGACTAGTTACTTAAGTTACTGGCTTTGCACAGACTAGTACTAAACCTTACTGAGACTGCCGTGTTGAGATGTTCAGAAACATCTTTAAGAGCGTATGCACGCCTCTCTTGAATGCAAAGAGCGCTCATTTGTTTGCCAAAGATAGAGCATACGTACTATGCCGCATCATGAAAAGGAAGAGTTATGCCCATGTTTTGTGTTTTAGAAGCTTAGGAAGTTGTTACCTTTGCAGAGTAGATATATGGTACTTCTGAATTCTCTAGTCGCCTGCTCTGTGTTTGGGGTCAGAGAAAATTTTACCTCAGACTGTTGCTTCATCTCTTTCTGATCCAAGTGATACTGCGTACACAAGCGAATAACCCATTATTTTCACCTTCGTAAGCCGAGACTAATTAGAATGCTGATGAATCTTCTAAGTCTATAATTCCTTCTTGAAAGTTTCTATACAAATATTATTTTGCAAGCGTATTATCATTTCTTACAGCTCAAATAATTTAATAAAACTGATTTCATCTCTTATTTCTTCTCCCCAAGCCTCCAGGTTTACCTGTACCTTGCCATATTGTATTTTTGATTAGAACTCTGAGATCTGTTTCTTAAGATGGTATAATGTCAAGTTAAGACAGCCCTTATGTGGGTGTTGCAAGATTAGGCTGCTTCCTTGGTCGGAAGTGTTTAATATATCCATTCTCCTATAAGACAGCAAAAGCTCCTGAAACTGGGAGGCGGAAACAAGAAGTGAGGCAGTTTTCCATCTAGCAGCACTAGTTCTTGGGATGATACTGGAGAACAAAGTTCTAACAAGGAAAAAGAAAAGCTGATAGTATTTTATGTGCTCTTTCAGATGAGTGACATGCACTGAGTAAAGGTGGAAAAGAGAGGAGATTTTCTTTGTAGATGTTGCATTGCAGAGCAGTTCCTATTTTGTGACTTAAAAATTATAAACTACTGTAGTATCCAGTGAGTGACAGATGTTGAGGGGTTTGTACTGTGTATTCAATAAGCCTAAAATATTGCTTTGGAGTATTTTTAAATATGCGTATTCCTATTTGTTCAACTAATAAACCCAAATTTTTGCAGTAGTTGTCACGTTAAAAAAACCCAACTTTCTAGTAGTTCTATTGGGCTAAATTCTGATTATTCCCTAAATGCAGAGTACTTTTGGATATCCAATGCTTTTCTGAAGTTAGAACAAATAGGCTACCTGGAAGATTATTTTATTAATCTTGCTTTTAAGGCCTGTAGGTTGTTGTATTGCTTTTGGTATTTTGCTGAGGAGGTACTTTAGGCACCCAAGTTAGAGAACTTTGTGACTTTTCTGTAATTGTTAATGATAGTTATTTGTAACTTAAAATTATCTGTGGTATTTCTAACGGTTACTAAAGTATTGACAATATCTCATTAGAAGTTTACTTTTTTATTCTAAGTAACTGTTTTGGGTAATGGAGAATTTTTCACTTTTCTAGGTCTTTGATGTATAGTGAAGCTAACAGACGGGAGACATTCACTTCATGGCCTCATGTGGGTTATAGGTGGGCACAGCCAGATCCTATGGCTCAGGCTGGGTTCTATCACCAGGTAAGAGGTTTAGTTGTTCGTAGTGTTTGTTCCCTACGTGAAGGTTTGAGGAGCAGGGGAAAAAGTTGTGGGTTTGTTATTTTGTGTTGTTTGTTTTGTGTTTTCATATGGATTCCTTCAGCGATGCAAGAACCGTAATGCAAAAAGTTTTGTCATTCAGCTTTCTTCTTTTTTTTTTTTAAGCTTCAGGTTTTTTCCATGCCTAGAAGTTGCTTCTTTTTTAATACAGATCACAGAAAATACTGTTCTGAACTTCAGCATATAAGACACTTTTAAGTATCAAATTGATCTGGGTAAACAATAATAAAAATGAAGTTGGTTGTAGTATAGAGTCCGTCTTTCTGCTTGTTATATTGTGGAGTAAATATCCTTACTTTTTATACTAGTAAGGAAAGCAAAAAAAACCCAAAACCATAAGCTTGACATTGGAGTTCTCTAACCATACTTTCCTGCTGGCACTTAAACTGTATTGTAACAAACAATGGTCCTGGATCATGTTACTAAATTACTAAGCTTAATGAATAAATACAACTTTGACATTTTATCTCGCTACTTTTGCTTATTTCCACTTTTCATTCTTTGAAGTTATTTCTATTACAAAAAAAATATTTATGGTGTGGATTTAGATAACGATGGCTAGGTAGTGCGTATCATTTGACATCAATATTGTCTGCCTCAGTATGTCAGCTGCAAAGCCTGATGGGTGAAAGTGGATAAAATTTTTGGAGGGTTTCTTAAGCTTGTGCAGCAGGAGAAATGCAGGGAATTTGTATGTTAGAATTGCACCTGCATATTCCCAAGCATATCTTTGTGACTTGAAGCGTGGTCATGAAAATGCTGAATTTGAAGAGAATGGAAGTTTTCATTCTTTTTCCTTTTTCACTTCAGCTAGTAACAACTGTTCTTTGCAAAGGAGTGACAGAATGCTTTATATACCAGCATATTGAAGGCATAATAGGAAATATTTGTTTAACTTGTGTTTTTTCCAAGCATGCAGGTATACAGTTATTTTGCTGACGTTCAAAATTTTTTGAACCTTGTGAACTCTTTCCAAAGAAAAGAAAAAAGTCTTGGCAGTGATGCTGAGTTTTGTTCTGTGTCTAGGAGGTTTTTTTTATCCAGTGTCTTGCACAGGTGTTGATTCTGAATTTCTTCTATAGTAATGTGGTGTATCCTTTTTTTAAATGTGAAATACTGCCACTTTATAGTGTGTAATTTGTGGCCCTTTTTACGTTTGATGTGATGTTTTTCTGTGCCACTAGAAGAAGGAGAGGACTAGATCACCTAGTCTGTGTTTTGTAGTATATAGCTATATAAATGTTAAGTGTTTCTTCTTTTTGTAGCCTGCTTCATCAGGAGATGACAGAGCCATGTGCTTTACCTGTAGTGTGTGTTTGGTATGCTGGGAGCCTACAGATGAACCTTGGTAAGTTTAACGATGTTTGGAGTAGACTTAATTTTGTGCTGAAGAGTTTAGAAATCTTTGGAGTGCAAAGATGAACATGATCTTGATGGGATTCCTGGTGAGTTTACGGAGTGTCACTGACAAGAACGGATTTCCAGAATGATTCCATGGGACAAATCACAAAATAATTCCTTGTACTTTGTCAAATTTCTGTATAATACTAAACCCAAGAAATTGTAGTTGATTTTATTTCTTAATTCTGATTTGCTATTTCATTTCAAATTGTTCCATGGCAAGGACGGCAGCCAACATCTCTTTGCAGGGTTCTAAATTACTGGATCTTCTGTATGATTGTGACTAGAACAAATCTTTTTAAAATTCTTAAACTGCCATGGCCATGCAGTTCGTATTTGCATTTGATGTGAAGTTGCAAGATCCATTACTAGTTTCCTGACTCAGCCGGAATTGTGCGTAGTGACAGAAATGCAGGACCTTATATTGATAATGTAATTTTTGTTTTGGTTATTTGGTAATTTATAATAGTGATATGAACACATCACATTCCTGACTTGCTGGAAACTTTCCTTTATAATATTACCTTCATAGTCCTTGTCTCCTCCTTTCCCTTGTTAGTTTCCAGACATTTTGTAGTAGTGTTAATGGTTCTTTGTCATGCTTCTGCCTTGGGTATGTATTGAGATTAGAAGGTTTTTTTCATGCTTCTTGGCCAACGTGTCATCCAGGCCTGTTTTCAATTTTGATTATTGTTAAGTGTGGATGTAGAACTAAAGACAGGACATTGCTTCATCTTGTTAAGATTACTTATATTAGTATCTCATAACATTGGAATTTTAATGTATGTTCTGTAGAACTTAATCTGCGCTTCTCTTGGTGAGGACATGATGGGCTACTGCTTATAGAATAAATATTTTTTAAAATAGACTAATTATATTAACGACACTATGTGTAGAGTCCTTCATTTGAATATGAATGTCCATTAAGCGATCAAAGTCTTTAATACAGGGAAAGCTGCATTATTAACTTCAGAACTCTCTTGCATGGTTGACTGCAACGCAGTTCAAACAGTTCAGTTTCAGCTTGGCTTCAAGGGCTGAGTTTGTATGTGATGTATATATTTTTCACAGTGAGAAATCAATGTTTGCTGTGTTTGTTTTTAATATGAAAAGGTCTGAACATGAGAGACATTCCCCAAACTGCCCATTTGTCAAGGGTGAGCACACTCAGAATGTACCTCTTTCAGTCACACTGGCAACAAGTCCAGCACAATTTCCCTGCACAGATGGCACTGACAGAATAGCCTGCTTTGGATCTGGAAGTTGCCCTCATTTTCTAGCTGCTGCAACAAAACGAGGAAAGATCTGCATATGGGATGTTTCCAAACTTATGAAGGTATACGACATAACCAACCAGTTTTTATGAACTAGTAACTGATTAAGCATATCTGGATTTAAATTAAAGACCTCTTCTGTTGTTTTGTTGTTATTTCTCAGGTCCACTTAAAATTTGAGATCAATGCATACGATCCGGCTATCGTGCAGCAACTTATGTTATCAGGAGAGCAGACCTCAGGGGTTGACTCAAGGAGACCAACACTAGCATGGCTAGAAGATTCATCTAGCTGCTCAGATATACCAAAATTAGAGGGAGACAGGTAGGCCAATCTACAAAATTAGAAGGACAAAATGCTGCTGTGGAAGTGGTAAATGCCGTTTAGTTAAGACATGCTTTGTGAAACATAAGATTGGTAAGATTTTTTTAATGGAGATAACTTTTTTAATCACTGTGTATCTGTACACAATTCAACACTTAAAACAATAATCTAA